TTTTTTCTTTCTTTTTTTTTTAACAAGAATTCAGACTACTAATGGCATGTCAACACAGCCTTAACACACAAGCTGACTTTTTTAAGTGAAGATTTGTAGTCAGCAGATGAATGTGAGTGCTTTAATGAGCACTGATCAGCAGCAATGTAACAATGACTGCGGCCCTGCCACTGCAGCCCCCTGAATAACAAGCTGTTATCTCCATTAAATGCCTGAAGAGGAAAACCTAAATTCTACTTGGCAAACGGATTAAAGAGCCTGCTCTCCTCGTGGCTGCCCACTTGTGCCTTCATGCATGGATGACGGCATTAACCCCGAACGAGTGCCGCGTTGCACTGAGCGCTCCCCGACACAAAACGGCACTATCAGCTTATTCAGTTTTAACCCCTGAATGCTCAGCTCACCCTAAGTCAACATTTAGAGCTGTCCCATTACATTCCATTACACCAGTCAACATTCCAAAGTGGCAACTCCAGTGAAAAACATGGTGGAGAGAGATCGTATAGAGCTTAACTGTCAGCATATTTCTCTCAGTTTATACTGTGAGTTCAGCCCTCAGTGATTCAGAGCTGAGCCACAGGCACAGCAGAGTTTACATTTGCATTATATTTTACATTCAGCACTTGGCTGATGCTCTCATCCACTGCAACTGACTATTATGTGGGATCTGAATCTGTGCCTTTGTGCTTACAGGTCGACCTCGGCAACTAATAGGCCAATATAAACTGTCAGACTTAATTTAATCCCTGTAGTCCCTTTCGCAAGTAGATCAAAGGTCAGCTACAGAACAAAAGCCCAGGAGCTGCTTTGCAATGAATGCCTTGCTTATAGGAAAGCACATTTTAGAGAGAAGGGTGTGCATCTGCCAAACACCTTAGTAACTCATTCCAGTGACTCAAACTAGCCATTACATTTCCAGCCTACCCACTAAGCTTCAGATTGAAAGAGCCACACACACAGCAGGAGACCCACCTGCAGTTTGTTAGTCAGGGGGAAAAGTACAGTTGGTAGCTGGACATATACAGAGAACTAAGTGCAGCTCTCTATCACAGCTGTTTAGACACCTCTGGCATATGAGGCAGAACCTGAAAGCAAAGCTCTTGGTTTCAACAATAACAATCAGGCAATTACCAAGCAGAGCAGAGAGAGATGACAGAATGTGAAGAGAGAATTTAAAGGCTACAGAAGCTCAAAGAAGTTGAAATATTTACTGTTGGTTGAGATGACAAAGAACAAAAGGGAGGCAATTACTGATTCCCAAACAACAACTTAACTGTACTTTCTGTTTGCAGCATTTTTAAGATGATGATGATGACGATAATAATGATAATAATAATAATAATTCTTATTATGATAAGTAGTAGTAGTAGTAGTAGTAGTAGTAGTTGTTGTAGTAGCATTGCTGTTGTTGTTATTATTATCAGTCTAAGCTTTAGGAGAGGGGGTAGCTAATTAGTAGTATCACCACTAGAACTACTACATTCAATATTGACTTTAATTCACAAATCAAGACCATCCTCCAACAAAATACCCAGGCTGGTCTCATGCACTGTTCTTATGTACGCCTATGAAAAGTAATGCACCACAATTCGTTTATATTTCACGTAATCATGAGCAGGTAATTGGTGTATAACCCGTGTAATGGGGAAAGCTGCTATCACGTGATCAATGCACTGACTGGAGTGAAGGAGGAAGTGCCCCAGGAGAACAGGGTTTGAAACCATGTGAGACTAAGTGAACTTTGAGTCATTTTAAGGTATGTTGTCACCACCTTGCTTCAAAACCTATAACTTAACTTGCATAAACCTAACAATGTCCAAACATGTTTCTTTTCCTGAACCTAACCTACTTAACTTTACTTTAAGTGTATAATGCTAATGCTTATGCTAATTTGTTAAATGTCATACAAACCATTGTATGTGGATATGTTTAAAATACCATATAGGTCACTTTTACGTTTTATGTTAGGCAGCAACCTCTCCTGGCTGCAGTTTTTATTACGGAAGCAAATGTAAAAGTCAGATGATGTAATAAGCGCGCTAAAATCCACCTTGGGTGGGATGGAGGGGAGGTGGATTGGTCCAACCAACACAGGACTTGCACCCCGCTGTTCATGTCCTGAACAGTGAAATCAAAAGGCAAAAGGCAATCAAAACACAGTAAACATTTTATGTTAGTAGGAAACTTATTTTAAGTCAAGCCATTTTTTCTTATGCCTAACCAGGAAGTTTTGTTACCTTAACCTAACCTCAAAGTTTTGGTGTAACTATGACCATTTAACAACGGTTGCACAAACAACAGTTTAAAACAATGGACGTAGCCACTGTGACGTCACCCACTGTGTTTTGGACTCCTGTTTTTGAAGCCTCAAGTTCGACATTTCCTGCATTGCCATCTTGGGTTTTTGGAATAGGAAGCGACCAAACTGTGGTGTCGCCCTGCAGACAGCACTTGAATATTCATAACTTAAGGCCTTAATAAAAATGTAAACTGGTGAGTTACATAAAAATTCATCCGCCCCATACAGCTGTCATAAACGTTAAAATTAGCTATAGTGACCGCCAAGCAACAAGCAGTAAACATGTTTATTTCTCCTGTAAAGTTGGGAATTTAACTGAGGATTGACTCTGTTATGGAGCCAGCCCCAAGTGGCCATTCAGTGTAATGTAGTCTTTGGCACTTGTGTGTTGGCTTCATTTCCAGCCTCAGAGGCTGCAACTTGCAATAACCATGTGTTTAATACTGCAACAGTTAAAAGTCATACAAGCTATTCTGTCATCCACTGATAGAGGTGCTAATTTAGGACATGCTCATGTTGGTTGTATTCAGGGGTTATGAACATATTACCTTTGTGGTTGCATGGGATGGAGGACAAATCACCACTTTAAGGATCACAACAGTATCTGGGAAACTATGAAGTTTGTTCTCTGAGCAGATTCGTCATGCATCATTACTATATCAACATGGACATGTCCAAAGTCAAAGTCTGGTGCTTTGTATACCCAATATAGGGCCTCATTCACAAACAGTGCGTACGCACAAATCTGTGCTTAAACTGTGCCTACGATCGTTTGACGCACAAATCCGGGATTCATCAATATTTTCTTACCCGATTTGTTCTTACTCTGTGAACAAATTTGGAACTGCCTCAGACCATGCGTACGCACAAATGAGGAAGGCCGAACTGACTTAGAAAATGCAAACATACCTTTTAAGTACCTACATGCAGAGTCTGTAAAACCACATTCATGAAAAAGAGATTTAATTAACATTTTTTAAAATAATTAATTTACTAATATATTGGCCAAATGGATTAAATTACCATGAAATTGACACACGTTCACCCTCATCAGTGACAATTAAAATATTAACAATAACATGAACAGAAAAACTATCACTCCATCAGCGTGCAGATGATCTGTAATGCCGACTGCCATATCCTTAAGGCTGTGGCCCGCTGGCCAGGAGGCACCCACGACTCATTTATTTTGCAAAACAGTACAGTGGGAATGCGTTTGGAGGCAGGGGCTGTGAGAAGTGGATGGCTTGTTGGTGAGCATCTTTTGTTCTAGTCTTTTATTTCAATTGTTTTAAGTTAGTATTTTTAGGAAGTCTCTATTCCGTTAATGTTAAAATGTTATATTGTTTGGGTGACCGGGCATATGGCCTTAAAACATGGCTGATGACACCATACGCAAACCATGAAACCCCTCAAGAGGTGCGCTATAATAACATACATGCCCACACACGCGCCGTAGAGCGCACTTTTGGCGTGCTTAAGGGCCGTTGGATGTGTTTGGATTGGATACAGCCGGTGGCAAACTACTTTATACCCCTGAGAAGGTGTGCAAAATCATCCTGGCATGCTGTGTCCTCCACAATCTTACAGTGACCCATGGCATTCCTGTATGACCCGGCGCCATCGCTTCTAACAAACTGTGAAATTTACTACTTCTCTCCTCGCGTAACCACGTCCTTCATTCATGAATCAACTCTAGGCAAGCGGTTTCCTTATATGGAGAAATGGGGGCGTGGTAGTATGCTGATTGCAGATTGCGGACACGTGCCTGTCAATTTAGAATGGTTCTGATTTACTAACATACGCACGGTGGTGAGAACAAAATTGTCCGGTACGCACGTGTCATGAATCCGACGGTGATTTTGCGCAAGTACTTATTTTTTGCTGAGAGTAAGAACATTTCTGCGCAGATATTAGTGAATGAGGCCCATAGTCTACAATTTCTGTGTAGTGCAAGAGCATAGCACTTCATAGACTGGAATAAATAAAAGATAACAGATACAGTAACAGTAAGAAAAATGTAGACTATTAAAGTATCTACGGGTAAAATCTCTTGTGTTAAAAATGCCCAAAAGTTGAGAGTGACTAGAAAATGAGAGGCAAAGCAGAGAAACTCTGGCGAATAATTTTCTGCAAATACTCAGGAATTAAAGGCGCATGATTACAAGACCTAAGCAAAGATCATTTATCATCATCAGTGCGACCTCTCTGTACAGTATCCTCCTCCAGCAAAGTGTAATCACACCGATTTAATATTCTTACTGCTTTTATGGCATAGTGTCCCAGCCATTCGTCTAGCCATTCGCCCACCAGTTTTACCTAAAGTATTTATGTTCAATACGAGGTGACAGACTCCTCATTCATATCAGGCTGTGTTACTGCACCATGGCTCTCCAGTCTCATAGATAACCCAGCAGGCGCATAAAGGAATGAAACCCTTTCCTCCCATTTAGTGCATCATTAGAGCCATACTGTTTAACACCCCTCTGTGCTTTGATAGAGGGTTCAGCTCAGTTCAGAAGGCGGGGCTCATCGCCATCGCCAAGAGGCAGATGGTGTCGACTCGGTGGGCACCTGCTGCGTAAAGGACACTTTAAACTCTGTAAAAAGGCCCTCGCTTTTCTGTATTATAGGTTTAGGCATAAAAAATGTGCCTTATTTTCATGCACAGAGATGTATTCATGAGCTTTGGACACACAGTGCTTAGCACCGAGAACACACGAAAAACCACTCTGAGAGGGTTGTGGCTGTTTCCTGAAGCTTTACAATTTTTTTGACATTGATGTCTGAGAAGAACATTTTTTGGGAGAATCATCAGTACACCAGGGTATGAATCATCCAAGCCTGATGGTCTTGATTTATCATCATCAAGTCAAGGAGACAGTACACATGCCACATTTCATAATGGCAGCCTTGTAGCTGGTTAGTCAGAGGACACGCACACACACACATATCCACACACTGCAGCGGTTTATTGGCCTGATAGGCTTTCTGCTGTCTGACCAGATGTGAGGGTAAAGACTTCTGATTGTTGGTTTGGACTGTAAAAAGGAGGAGAGATTGAAGCAATCGAGCATAGAGGCTTACAATGCAACAATTCTACATTTCTTCAATTTCAGTTTTAGCTAAGAGTTAACCCAGTTTTACAATAGAAGCTTTTAAGTTAAATGGTTTCATCAAAATGAGTATGTTACAGCTAATTTTGGATTAAAGCTTCTTTCTACTCTGCATTCCCCTGTGCATTCATGTGAATGTTTTCAAAATGACATGCTTCTGAACATCTGAGACAACACTTAAATTTTGCCTAATTACATCCAATTAGGCTATCACCAAAGTTCACAAAGACCACGACAGTCTGGAAAAATTCCATGGCAATCTGATCAACACATTCTCCTCAAAACCACGCATATCAACCTGCTGGCAGAGTAAAGAAAATGTTAGATCTGGGAACCATGAATGTTGGTTCAAAAAGTTTTGTAAATCCGTCTTGATTTAGACTATTTTAAGCATTATTACTCTATTGAATAGGCATTAGTAGGGGTGTAACGGTACAAAAAATCTCAGTTCGGTACGTACCTCGGTACACAAGTCATGGTTTGCTTTTTTTCGGTACAGTAATGAAAAAAATAGACAACTATTAAATATCTTTTACTTATTGGTAACCTTATTAAAACATACCACCACAGCAGTTAACTCTTTTTACACAATTTTTGAATGAAACAAATATATATAAAATCCTGCTTTTTCACATTGTTTGAATGAAAATAGAAATATAAAAGTGAAAAATAAAATCCTGCTGTTTTTTAACACATTTTTTGAATGAAAAATATAAATATACATTTCTGCTTTAACAGTTTTACTCAATTAAAATAAAAAGTATAGTGCAGCTGGTCAGCTTTAAAGCCTGCTCAGATTCAGTTTTACTAGGAACTTACTTAGCTTTCCCACTTTGTTAAAGTGCAGTAAACAAAACATGCTTATATCTAAAGTGCAGCTTAAACAATTTTACTCAACTCCAATGGCGTTGATTATTTCTTTAGCGCGATGGTCAGGGAAACGCTCTTTCTTTTTAAACGACGACGATATCGTAGTTTGTACCAGATTGCTTTTTCTAGTCGTGTCAGTTAACGTTCAAACTTGGGTGGTGTCGCTTTAGATGCATTAGCATGTTAGATGTGTTTCCAAGTACATACCCGACCGCTGTTCTGCAGTGTCGGCACACTGCTTTTGTCTTGTCAACTTGTTTATTTCCATCTTCGTATTTTACCCTGACACCAAAGTGTTCCCAAACGGAGGACTTAAGGTTTGCAGGTGGGTCTTCAGGTTCGTCAGGCTCACTTGCCATGTTGTCAAAATTCGAGAATGCGCTGCACAAAGTGAAAGCGGAGATTTACGGTCGGACTCGGTCCGTCACTCAGTTATGTCCGTTGGGGAACTAGATATTTTAAATGGTTCGGCTCACAAAAACGGAATTAAAATAAAACAAAATAAAATAATATCCTGCGCCCAATAATTCGGTACAGGGTCGTGCCGAACCGAAAGTCACGTACCGAACGGTTCGACACAAATACATGTACAGTTACAGCCCTAGGCATTAGTAGTGGTTATCAGCATTGTAGGTTAGAAGACTCCTTGTACACCAAATAGTATGCTATGACTGTTGTTATCAGCTATTAAACAGCCGTGCTTCCTGTTATGTGGTGACGTGTATGAGCTGACTTTGTTTGAGAGGTGGAGGGGATGGTGGATGGCAAGACATCTAGGCGACACGGCCACTGCGGACTACTGTGGATCACTGTTCAAGACAACACAATAAAAAACTTTTTTTTTTTCATTAGCTAGACATTAAGGAATTACCACTTGCTGATTTGTCACTGTGTTTCCAGCAGTGTTTCTGACCCCAAATTTGGATGTTTTTAGCGATGCATTGCTGCATTTCCTGCAATATTTCTGCCACCAAATGTGGAGTTTTTTAGCAAGCCACCGATGTGCCTCCAGTGGCGTTTCTGCCCCCAGATGTGAAAGGTTTTTAATGACCTATAGCTGCATTTCTAGTGGTGTTTTTGCCCCAAAACGTGAGTGTTTTTAACAATTTGTTGGTGTGTTTCCAGCAGTGTTTCTGCCACCAAATGAGGGTGTTTTTAGCAAGTCATCTCTGCGCTTTCCGGGGTGTTTCTGCCCCCAAAAATAGAAGGTTTTCAACGACCCCTAGCTGCATTTCTAGCGGTATTTTTGCCCCCAAATATGGGTGTTTTTTAGTGACCAATCGTTGCATTTCCAGCAATGTTTTTGTCCCCCGATGAGGGTGTTTTCAGCAAGCCATTAGTGTGCCTCCAGTGTCCTTTCTGCCCCGAAATGTAGAAGGTTATTTTGACGAATTATAGCTGCATTTCTAGTGGTGTTTTTACCCGTACATGTGTGGTTTTTTAGCGACCCCTCATTCCATTCAATGGCATTTCTGCCCCCAAATATGGGTGTTTTTTAGCAACCTATTGCTGTGCTTTCAGCGGCATTTGTGCCATCAAAAAAACAGCTGATTAACAAGGCGATAAAAAAGATTCTGTGTTTATATAATGAGATCCTTCACAAGCAGTATAGTGGATGACTTTTTTTGGAGACAGATCTCCAAATCCCATTTTGGACATTATTTCCTCTCTTTTTTTTGTTTCACCTGTGGCCCACCCACATGAAATACTAGTACCTGAAATTCATAAGCTGTTGCAGAGGTTTTGTCTTGCTTGAGCTGAATCTTGTGGTAGGGCAATGGAATTTGTAAATTAACGGGCCAGAGGACATCTGGCATTTGGAAGCCTATTTCAAGTATCATATCCTACTGCAAACACTTGAGATGGACTGGACCAACTGAAGAATGGGGGAAACAGCAGCCACGTAAGAGAAAGGATTTAGTTTGTCCAACAGGTAGTGATTTCTTGTCAGGGCTGTAACACCATCATGTCACTATTCAGAAAATCCTGATCCTAAATCCTAATGGTCCTAATTTGAAATATATCCAGCCACTGGCCATGTGACCACTGTGAGAACAGTCGTATCGGAATTCATGTGTTTTTTGCATATGCCCGTGGTTTTTCAATGTCAGACTTCACAGTGCAGGAGCAGATCACTCACCATACAGTGTTAGAGCAATCCATTGAAACTACAGAAGGGTGATGTGGCCGTACCTCTGCTGTGGTAGACTGCTCATTGTTCCGACTTTGCATAATTCCAATCACAGATGTCTCATTGGACCAAAAGCTCATTTGTACGACTGCTATAAGCACTCTCTTAAACAGAAGAACATATCTAGTTAATATGCAGAATGATGTCACTGGACCCTCAGACTATGGAAGATGCAGATGCGGTTGTGGCTCAGGAGGTATAGCGGGTCGTTCACTAGTTGGAAGATCAGCCATTTGATCCCCAGCTCCTCCAGTCTGCTTGTCCAAGTATCCTTAAGAAACTGAATCCCAAATTGCTCCCAATGGCTATTCCGGTGTGTGAGTGTGTTAAAAACTGAGTAGCAGGTGGCACCTTGTATGGTAGCCTTGGCCACCAGTGTATGAATGTGTGTTTGAGTGGTTGGATGACTAGAAAGGTGCTATACAAGTGCAGGTCCATCCATTTGCAGGTCCATGACTCACCCTACTCTGCCTCTGATTGGCTAGTATTGGCTTTTGTGTCCCTTCCTCTTCTCACTCTCATAAATTCTGTTACATAAACTATTTAATGGTTATCTGTGGGTGCCTGACCCAGTGCAGGACAGAATGACACAGGTTTCATTGATGGTTCGGTAGATTGACACCAGTGTAGCTGCTGAGCTGTTTAAACCTGAAGGCTGTATTGTTTTAAGTACAGTATGTGCCAGTAAGTTGCAAGTCTGTATCTACACATAAATTCTCAAGCCTTCACAGTAGTTGGAATTTAAAGTGACACTGATTCAGATAGACATATTCCATAGCAGTAATAAGTCATATTTACATCACTTAGTGTTTGTCTCCATGGAGATGCGTACCAGTCTTGTTAGATGGAAAATGTACATTTCAAAAGGCAGCTTTACATAAACAGCCTTGTGTTCACAATGCAATTTTAATGCAAATGCATTTTATAAACTACAGAGCAGCATTTGGCTTTATTGGCGAGGAGTTAAAATAAATAGCATTCGTGAGGTTTTGATGCCAACGCGGCACTGCAACAAACGCTGCTCTGCTGTTCTGTGAAGATATTGTGTTGGCTTTGTCAGCTGTCAATTCAAAGCTCATACTCATTCATTTATTCACCAGAGAACATTTGCTGTGTCCTGTGCTTTAGGATCATTTTATGTGAAGATTTTGCTCATTATTGACCAACCTACCTAATAACAGAAGACTTACAATCCAAAAAACCTAATCTATAGTAGAGTAAAGCAACACATTTCTTTCATTCCCTAAAAGGGGGACAGAAATATGTTTCCATCTGCCTCACTGATGCAACACTTTATTTTTCAGCTACAACATGCTGTTTTACCTGCAATAGTTTAGAGCACTGAGTTAAAGCTAAATCCCCTCCTTGCATTGCATTTGTATGCAGACAGAGAAGCAGTAAAAAGCAGACCTATTTAGTGTAAACAGCGTTATATATCTGAAGAGATTCAGCCTCTGTGAGGAGAGGGGATCAAAGTACTCCGAATCCATGCAGTTATCTCTTCCTACAATGCTTTGCCCTTTTGGGCTTTCTACACACAACCCTCTCCTCTGCCTACAGACCCTGCCTGTGCGAGACAGGAAACGAAACATTTTCTCATATTCTCACTTTGTCTCTGAGGAGGAATCTTTTCAAGCTGTGCAGGCCATAGAAAGCAAACAAACAAAACATCTCCATCCCTGAGATTTATAACCATCTACACCCAGCTGAGGCTGAACTGCAGACTATTTGTCCTATAGACTGTGTAAAGTTTATAAAAGGCCAAACAAGACTGAGGGGATATTTGGCTGTTAAGCAAAATTTTGCATCACCACAATTTTCCAGTTTAGTGTGGTGTTTACTAAAACTACAGATTTATTCGAGCACAGCCGCAGTTCATTTGATATGCATGAGGCAGAGGTGGGACCAAGTCATTGTTTTGCAAGTCAGTTATAGGTCTCAAGTAACACTCAAGTTCGAAGTTGAAACAGGCAAGACCCTATTCAAGGACAAAGCCAGGACTCACAAGTCCCAAGTCAAGTCCCTCATCCTAAACTTTGAGTTTTGAGTGCTAAACAAGCCATAATGTGCATTTGTCTAGATGTAGTTTAGTTACCTTGGTTATACTGTACTAGGGTTGTCCCCAAAAGTCAACAAAACATTAGTCAACCGGAAAGGTCTTTAGTCAGCAAGATATCAGGTCGCTTAGTCGCAGAAAAACAAACCAAACCAAACCAAAAAAAGGAATGTGAAACTCTGTTAGGAGCTGCGCCTTGTCAAAATAAATCAAAACCTATATGACTGGGTCATGTGGGAATTTAATTTGAAAGAACAGACACAGGCAGTGGCCACACTCAGCAGCCAGACATGAGTCATGTTAATTTAAAGGACTGGTACCTGCAGTTATTACACAGGCTAGTTAATAACATGTCGGGCAGGACATCCAAAGTGTGGGATCATTTAGAGAAGGTGAAGGACGAACCCAAGGTGATATGTAAACTATGCAGCCAAACATTTGTCGACTGCGAACATGATGTATCATCTGAAACATGTCAGTAGCTACATGCCCATTAGCCACTTAGCACAATCATTACTGCTTTGGTGACAGTGTAATTAACAGGCGGCTCGCTCAGTGTGTGACGTGCACTTGTAGATAAAATAAAAGCTTATATTAATGAAGGTTCATTAGTACGGTTGTGTATTTCTCTGTAATATAGCACAGTGTTTACAATGTTACTGATACTCTTCTTTGTCAGGCCTTGAACTTAAACCATTGTGTTGCCCCACCCAAAATATACAATTTAATAACTAAATTAATATCATAAACATGTGGGTGATTAGTCGACTAATGGCCCTAAATGACAACTACTGGTTGACTAGAAGAATTCTTAGTCAGTGGCAGCACTACTTTGTACTCACGATGTGTGTTGCACATCTGTCAGTCCTGGCAGAGGCATCCCTCCTCTCTTGCTCTTCCTGAGGTTTCTTTCATCTTTCCATGTTTAAGGTTTTTTTTTGTAGTAGTTTTTCCTCAGTTGAGGTGAAGGTCAAGGACAGATGGAGTTGTATGT